TTTGGGCTGCCCCTCTCCCTGTCCTATAACAATACTATACCTAAGAATCACATATAATGTTGCAAAACAATGTGACCTCAATCAACCAAAATGCAGGTTTCGATTAAAAGAAAATTATGTTACCAGTTGGGGTTCTTTTGGTTATGAAAGTCAGAAAATTACCCCCAACTTACTTAAGTTAAAGAGGTTACTGACAGAATATTAATAATCAATATAGCTATTATCAGCATTTTCTTATGCATTAAATAAAATATCCATTATTGATAATAATGGTGGGGACCAGAAAAGCTAGGTTACTGGGCACATAATCCAAATGGTGTACCAAGTGAGAGGGAAATAAAGAGAAAAAAAGACAAAGTCCTTGGCTTACAGGAGAGGGGAGTATGGCTTAGACGATACACAAGGTGGCAGAAACGGGAAACTGGCATAATCAATGGAGGGAGACAAAACTAAAGGCATCGAATAATAGAGGATCAGGGAGAGAATTAGACAAGATGAACTTAAATTTGACCAATGTGCAGGGGTGAGGGCTGTCTTCATCTATACAGGCTGCTACAATAGGATATCATAGACTGGATGATTTATAAGTGACAAAAACTTATTTTTCAAAGTTCTGCATGCTGGGAGGTTCAAGACCAAAGCTTTGACAGATTTCGTGTCTGGTGTCTGATGAGGCCCACTTCCTAACACATGATGGAAGGAGAGAGGGAACTGGCTTGGATTTCCTTTACCAGGGCACTAATCCCATTTCCCTGGAGCTTGAGGTTGCTAAGGATCCTTGAGAATAGGAGCAATTTAATTCTGTAGTAGTTTGACTTTGCTCCAAGACCTTGAGTTGTACATGGTACAATCTTGACATCTTGAAAACATGCCAGCGGACATAATCACCTTACAGAGACCTCCTAACACATCACACTGGAGATTAGGTTCCTACATATGAATGGGGGCAGGAGATGGTGGGTGAGTCAACACAGTCACTCAGTCCATTGCAGGACCAAGGAAGCAAATGAAATCTTACAGGGGTTGAGATTTTGACATCACATGATACTAGAGACTAGTATCAATGGAGGCTTTCAGTTCACTACTGATTGTTTACTTTTTAATAAGAAATAACTTTGATTCTTATCAGCCCCAACACGAGATCACCCTGTTTTTTTTTTTTTTTCTTTTTTAAAGATTTATTTATTTATTTATACAAGCACTGGGTATAGTCAGAAGCATGGGAGGGTGAGAGAATTCACCAGAGCCAGAGCGGCGAGCAGACCAGGCAGTCTGAGGAAATACACTGCTGAGGGGAGCAGGGGGCACAGCGGGAGAGGTCTGCACGCCATGTGGGATCCTCACCAGTGGCTGGGGATCCAACCAGCACTGCAGAAGTTGTGGGCAGCTTCGCAGCCCAGCGCTCAACCACTGCACCACCGGGGAGGCCCACACACTAAGTTTTAAAGCACCTGATACTACGTTGGCTTTGGTGGCATCACCCAATATAAGAGGAATCTATGAACTCTTATGTTCATTGCAGCCTTATTTACAATAGCTAAGTTACAGAAACAAGGTAAGTATTCAAGGACAGAGGAGTGGATCCCAAAAAATGTTGTACAGTCAGGGAGAGAGAGAGAGAGAGAGAGAGAGAGAGAGAGAGAGAGAGAGAGAGAGATATGATGGAATACTATGCAGCTATAAAAAAGGATGATCTCCTGCAATTTGAGGCACATGTATGAAACTGGAAAGGATAATGCTAAGTGAAATAGTCAGAAGGTGAAAGATAAATACTGGATTGTCTCATTTATATGAACATAGAGAAACATAACAAAGTGTCAGTCAAAACCAAATCAATAATAAACTCTTTACATGTGACTGGGAAACTGAGGCAACCAGAGGAGGAGAGTGATGGGGGGGGAGTGGGGGAGGGAGGGGACCCAGTGGAACAAGTGGAGGAATGTGGGGGCACTGGTGGTGGGCAGGGTGTGAAAGTAGATAATTGTACGTGTTTGAACCTATGACCCCCAGAGCAGATACAAAGATGTCAACCACAATACCTCGATAGACATAATTTGGGGGGTGGAGGGAGAAGAATCTTTTCCCTTCAGACTCAGCCTCTGAGCTCTGACCACTGTGTTGCTGTTTGATACGTTCAACAAACATTTAGTAAACCCAAGGGAAATAAAGCAATGGCCTTGCCCTGCCCAAGTGAAAAAGCAAAGACTGAGGATTGCTCCCATGGTTCTTGAACATTCTGAGAAAAGAGATATTTTAATTTTAAAATACAGATTTTTGTATCAGATTGAAAGGAGAAATGTTGGAACCAATGATCAAAATTATGGAAATGAAAATAGAGACTGTTCCAGGAAATAAATTAATATCAATGAGAAAGAAGGAAATAAAAGTGACAAAGAACAAACAATCCTCTCACTAAATAAAGTATGAATGTTTGCATGAGCCAAAGAGCAATAGGAAACCAGGACATGTTATTCCAAAATTAGGAGACATTTGTTTAATTAATATTGGTCGATGCCCTGAATCGCTTTGCTTCCTGTTAGTTTAATCATAAATATGAAACAGGATACAAAATGTTCCTAAGACTGTATTATTCAAATTATCTAGGCAGTTAGACTGTTAACATTGGAGTAGCTCTCAAACATTCTCGACCTTGACCCACAGTAGCAATATATTTCACACGAAAATCTGGATGACACACATTACACATTACAAAATCTAGATTGCACACACACACACACACACACTATAATAAAAGTCCACATTAGCTTTACTCCAGATAATGCACTCTGATATTTTCTTTCCTGTCTATTTTAGTTTATTCTGTCTCTCATCTTTAAAAAGCTGTTAGAGACATGCTATGTTTAGTTCATGATTTACTGATGGGTTCCAGATCACAGTTTGAAATGTATTTATAAAAAGACCTTATAAGGGCCTCCCCGGTGGCGCAGCGGTTGAGCGCTGGGTTGCGAAGCTGCCCGCAGCCTCAGCGGCACCGGTTCAATCCCCGGCTGCTCCCCGGCCACCGGAGGAGGGTCCCACATGGTGCGCAGACCTCTCCTGCCACCCGCTGCTCCCCTCAGCAGTGTACTTCGGTCCTTCTGCCTGCTCTGCTCCCTGCTCTGGCTCTGGTGAATTCTCTCACCCTCCCGCGCTTCTGACTATACCCAGTGCATGTATAAACAAAGCAAGCAAACAAACAAATAAATAAATAAATAACATGCCTCTATTAAAAAAAAAAAAAAAAAAAAAAAAAAAAAGACCTTATAAGCCATTCATAACAGGCCACAGCTGTTACTGTTGCTGCTGCAAAATATCAGCTGTGGGTCACAATGGAGCTTCATCCAGCTCAATACCACAACCAGGGTTCTGAGGATGTAAACTAGGACTTCCCAGCTCCATTTCCAGAGGTTTTCTCCCATTGCTCAGGAGGACGTGAGTCCGGTGCCCCCTCCAATCACCTGGGGTACCAGGGCTCTTGTCCAAACAGGCCAGCATTCTCAACATAACTTCGTCCTCTCCTCACCCCTGTCCCCTTGGTGTTATTGACCTTCCATAAGACCAAGCCACCAGGATGGTGTCTGCCTCCAACTTTGCGGTCAAAGTTGGCGTTAGCCCTGGCTCCAGCTACAAGACTCTCTCCCTTCTGGGTCCACTGCTGACCCTGCAGCCCTGCTTAGGTCCTGCTACCATCTCACAGAGGTGGCACAGCAAATGTGACTCCTGGGCCACAGTTCACAATTTCTCTGAGGTTGTGCTAGTGTGCAGGAGACCCCTCCACCTGAGGGTTAGCTCCTACTCCTCAGACAATCAGGACCGTACCGGTTAAACGCACAAAAATGGAGACACCATCCTCAGGAGAAGCGATTCAGCCTAGGGCAGAGAAGTTCCATCCAAATGCTGGGGGGAAGATTCAGCCCCTGAGAAGTCCTCCTCATGCCCAGAACCAGGGCAATGACCACAGACTACCCCCTTACTGAACAGTCCCTCTATTTCCCCAGGACCCCCTCCCCAGTAATTTCAACATGCCATTCTCTCTCCCTCTTGGTGAGGACATGGGTTTTGGAGTGAGAAGTGGACCCAAGTGTGTGGGATTTATTAGAAATCCCCAAAATCCTCTTCACAGCTCTTGGGCCAAAGAGCTATGGGTTACCTTGAGCACTGAGGATTTGAAATAAATGTGGATCTTGATATGAAACCACGGTGACCAGTTATAAAATTGTTCTAGAATTCTTATATAAAACTCACAAATAAAATCATCTTTCCTTATAATGACATTGTGAAAGTTTCCAGTGTATTGTCACACTCTCGGCAGAAGTGAGACGTTTCAGTACTACACATGTATAAGGGAGTGTTCATGGTTCTTTGTATGCTGCCATCAATGTGGTAAGTATTCAGAAGGATAGTTATTGGGTAGACACCAAAAATTTTAGGAACATTACTTAGCTAATGGACTAAAAGAATCTAAATGTTGAAGGGACTCCAGAAGTCATCTTATCTGCTTCCATTGTTACTTGCATTCCACTTTCCTGTATTGGTAGGAATGCATTTGGCTACATATAACAGAAACTCTGATAGCTGAGCCTTAAACAATGATGTCTTTTTCTCACACAGCTAGGGGTCTGGACTTGCAGCCTTTGGTTTAGCAGCTCGGTGGTGTCAGATTCAGGTGACTCTACCTGAATCTCTTAGCCTCGTCCTCCTGCTTCCAGCTCCTTGCATCACATCTGCATTCATGGCAGAATAAAGGGATGAGGAGGTAGCCACCATCTACATCTGCCCCTTATCAAGAAATAAAAATCTCACCCAAATGCTCCAACAGTAAATTTTTCCAAGGTTCAAGATCCTCTAAGGTCAGAACTGGGTTGTCTGCTGACCCTAGTATAATATTGAGGTATCATTGGAAAGGCAGAAAGTAGGTGTATGGGCAGGACGGGCACTGAGCAGGCTATCTATGATCAGGCAGACAGATAAAGGAGAGTCTTGGAGCCCTCGGTGGCTTTTTTAGGCTTTTATTGAACTTTACATGCATTGCAGCAACCAGGTACAAGGCAGGCAGGGGTGCAGGAGCTGGGGGGGCCAGGAGGCCAAGCCCCTGGCAAGTCTTCTCTCTGGGATTCTCTGGAATCTTTCTACCCTTCTCTCTCCTCTCTCTTGCTTCTGCTTCTCTTTCTGACTCTGTCTATACTCCTCCCATGGCCCACAGAAGTAAACAACACAACAATGTAACAACTGCAGGTGCCCCATCAGGCAGGCAATCCTAATGGTAGGAGGGTAGAAAAGCCTGAAAAACATTTACCCTCCAGTAGGGAAGGACATTAAATAGGAAATGTTGAGTAATGGTCAGATTTCCCTAACTATTCATCCTTGTTTGACATCTTTAGGGCCAGGGAACAGCCTATTCCATTTTTGGCAGCTCTAGAAAGCTCTTTTTATTTTGAAACAGAATCTGCTTCCCTAGAGACTGTCCTGATGGGGCTATGAAAAAGAAAGTGACTATTTATTGTTGACATCCATACAAATATTCAAAGGCAGCTGTCATATCTCTTCTAAGTCTCCTCTCATCCACATGAAACGTTTCCAGTTGAGTCATCATGTGACATGACTTCACCTTTTGATGCTGGCCTCTGGGTCTGTTTCAGTTTACAGATGTTTCTACTAGATTTTTGTTGCCCTAAATTGCATCATTGGTCAAGGGGTAACCTGAGCAAAGTTAGATAAATCAGATGATTATCTCCAATGTTCTTGGTTATCATGAAGGCAGCGCAAGCCTGTGTTATCTTCTGCGTACTTCCTGCTGATGATTCAGCCAACTAGAGACCGTGAATCTTTTTCATTCTTTCATCTTCCTTTACTTGTGTATTTGGTCCAGGAATCCTAGAGCAGAATTTATACTTGTTAGTTATATATTTTATGTTGTTTAACTTAACTTGTATTTCTAGTTTACTGAGTTCTTTTCTGATTTTAATTCTATTGTCCCCAACATCAGCTACTTTTTCCACACTCACCCTATCTGCCAATGATACAAATTAATGCTGTGTGTAACTTCAAATAAAACCCTATTAAGTACTTTCAAAATAAAGGTCAGAATGGCAGCAAGGGCTTTATGGCTCAATATCCAAAGTATGTAAAAAGTCATACAAACAACCAACCAACCCACTCAAAAAATAGGTTTGTATGGATCCCTCTTTAAAGAAGATGCATAGGTGACTAAAAGATACATGAAAAAATGTTCAAAGTTACTTTTTTTTTTTTTTTTAGAAAAATGCAAATCAAACCACAATGAGATATCACCTATTCATGTCAGAATGGCCTATCTCAAAAATGCTGGAACCTAGTATGCATTGGAAAAAGGAACTCTCATTCTCCCTTGATGGGGTTGTAAATTGGTTCAGCCCCTATGGAAAATGGTATGGAGATCCTTGAAAATGTAAAAATGGAAATACATATCACCCAGGGATATCTCTCCTAGGTATTTATCCAAAGAATATGAGAACTCTACTTCAAAAATTTATACACCCCTTGTTCATAGTAGCACTGTCCCCAATAGCTAAGACATGGGCAAAACCTCAGTTCCCACCCATAAATGACTGGATAAAGAAGCTGTGTTATATGCATTCAGTGGAATACTACTCTGCTATTAAAAAGATGAAATCTATCCCTTTGCAAAAACATGGATGAAACTTGAAGTGGTTATGCTGAGTAAAACAAGTCAGAATTGAAAAAAATTATTAGGTGGTTTCTCTCATATATGGAATATAAATAACCAAAGTCAATGAATTAACCAATCACAACAAAAACAACTCTTAGATTTTGTGAAAAATATATAGTGGTGGGCCTCCCCGGTGGCACAGCGGTTGAGCGCTGGGTTGCGAGGCTGCCCGCGGCTTCTACAGCGCCTGTTCGATCCCCGGCTGCTCCCCAGCCACAGGGTGAGGGGCCCACATGGCGCGCAGACCTCTCCTGCCGCCCACTGCTCCCCTCAGCAGTGTACTTCGGTCCCTCTGCCCGCTCTGCTCCCCGCTCTGGCTCTGGTGAATTCTCTCACCCTCCCGCGCTTCTGACTGTACCCAGTGCTAGTATAAATAAATAAACAAATCTTTAAAAAAAAATATATATAGTGGTTACCAGAGGGGAAGGGGAGGTGGCGGAAAGGGAAGGGTGTCAGCATAATAGTGGGTTCACCCTAGAACTTGAATAGTGGTTGAAGTGAGTCTTATAGTCACATAGAGGTAAAGTGGTACCCCTGAAATATCTATAATTTTATAAATCAATGGAAAATCAATCAATACAAAGGAAAATAAATAAAAATCTAGTAAGTATGACTATATTTCAACTTAACTAGTTGTTTAAATTTAGTTTTAAAAAAAGTAGGAATGGATGCTTTCAAATAGTGTCTTCTTTTCTAAAATAATATTGACCATTTAGTGGGGTCTGGGCACACATTATGGATTCAGCTCATAATCATCCAGCCCACATCTCACCTTTTGTTTTAAGGATGTTACAATAACTTCTTTCAACACTTTCCAAAAATTCTGATCTACAGATCATTCGATCAGTCTCCAGAGCAAATAACTTAGAACCTGGGGGATTTTATGTATGAGGGCTTTTTCCAATGTGTCCACACCAGTTCCCGGAGAGCACTAATTCCCTTCTGAGTTCCTCAAATTAACCTTTATATACTCCAGTCTACCCCTTTCTGTGGCCACGTTGCCCTTATATACCAGATACTAGAAACACAGGGCAAAATTTGAACTGAATCACAGTAACTGCTTTCATGAAATTGCACATCAGACCAGGCACAAAGGCAAAAGTGATGTGCAATTAAAGTTATCTTTGAAAAATCTCTCAAATGACTCACAAAGTCTGGTGTGCACAGCACTGTCTTGTATAATCTTTTTCAACATCAAAGTTTGACAATGACACCGAGACTGACTTAAGAAGGTTACAGAAGGAAGCCCATCGGGAAGCACTTAAAATATTTTATCAAATCCATCTAATTCAGTGAGTAAGGGAAGGGTGGAGAATTCTAAATTATCCCTGCTTGTCAGTAAGGTTTAATGTGTGTGGTTTTAATAGGAACCCTTTACAGTCTTAAAACATGGTAACAGATTTTTTGTTTGTATGAGGATTGAAAATTACTATCTATGAAAGTACCTAGGAGACAGGGTCTGATACCCAGCAGATTTTAATCTAAAATTTTCTGGGTTAAATACATATATATGCACACTATTTTTTTTTTTTTTTTTGAAAGGTTAGAGAAACGATCTTGGCCACTGACATCTTATTTTTCCAAAGTAGCTCTTCTCCTTCATGACCTGGGGCGTTGATCTTGTGATGATCCCTCGCTGTAAGTTGATCCTTGTAGTCAGTTTCTAGAATAATGCAATTATAGAGTTGAAAAGCAGACTTTGTTCCAAGATGAAAGTTAGCTTACATGGCTGACTTCATCATTTACCAGCTATGTGGCCTTGGGCAAGTTAACTTAGCATTTTTAAATTTATTTCCCTGTCTTTGGGAAAGGCTTTTTGTTGACTGCAGCAAGGATTTAAGGCAAGATGTAAAGCATCCAGCCCAGTGTAGATTCATGTGTCTAAGTTACACATCCATGTCATGTTTCGGGAAAAGACAGTTTATTTCAAAAAGCTATGAAGTGAAATTATTTCAATGAGAATTAATGTGATTCATGAGAATTATGAGAATTAATGGAAAACATTCAGGTAACCTGAAACTCAGGATTCCTTTTATCCACTGACATTGCCTCTAACCACACTACGTAACAGTTTAAAATGAGTGGCGTACATAATGAGTGAAAATAATGACGTGTTTTATGGAGTCATTCTTCCCTTTAAAATGTTGACTTGGGTGTATTTGTTTCCAAAGCTTGCCTCAACACAGTACCGCAAGCTGGGAGGTTTAAAACAACAGAATTGTGTTGCTTTGCAGTTCTGGAGGTCATATTAAGATGTGACAGGACCACCTATTCTCTGACATTTCCATTCTAGGGGAGAATCCTCCTTTGTCTCTTCTGGAACCCGGTGTCTATTGGTCATCCTTGCCTTGTAGATGCATCATTCCTGTCCCTTTGCTGTCTTCCCTATATGTGTCTTCACATTTTTTCTGTGTTTCTGTTCAAATTTCCCTTTTTGTAGGGACACCTGTCATATTAGATTAGGGCCCAACCCTGAAGACCTCGTTATAACTACAAAGATTCTATTTCCAAAGAAGGTCAAATTCTGTGGTACTGCAGGTTAGGATGTCAACATTTTTTCTTGGGAGAACACAATTCACTGGACTTAACAGAACCCATAACACTGGACTTAGGCAAAGAATTAGCTGGTCGAGAAGTGGCCAGAGAAGCTTACTTCAAGAGGTGAGCACAGTTCGTAAGGGGAAGAGGGAAAGGAAGAATTTTCCAAACCCACTCTGTGAACACTATTTGTAGAAGTACATGGAAATATCTATGGAGACTGAGAAGGAGTAGTCTGCATAAGGCCTTCACGTCTTGTCATTTTTTCACCCTTTGACAATAAAAGTGTCCACTGTCTTCACTATTTATCTCAGCATTCAGAATAAATAGCAATATATAAGACTTTCCGCATTCTTAGCCCAAGCCACAGCATAATTTAGCACTGACTTATATGTCTTCTATACAAATTAGCCGAAGTGGGAAGTAACACATACCAGTTTCACACTGAAGAGAAACTGCAACAGGGTGGTCCCCAGGAAAGGGGGAGGTTCCCTGCCCCACCCAAGGGAGGGTGGAGCAATCTGTTATAGGACAGGGAGAGGGGCAGCCCAAGCCCCGCAAACCTGCCTATTCTAAATGGGTTCTGCCATCCGCCGCATCAACACAAAACATAGGAGACTTTAATGGGAAGGACCTTTAATAAAACTAGGAAACAATACAGGTAAGGCAAAGAGTCTAGTTTCTAAATGAAGCACCCAAAGTTACCCATCCCCTCGTGGGTAAAAGTCCATCCATATGGGATTGGCCCAGAGCAAGGCCCCAAAGCCTGCCACAAGTCTAAAGCATCTTCCAGTGGGGACCCACAGAGAAGGGTCACAAACAACCGGACAAGCCCGGAAGGAAAAGAGCAAAATCAACATCAAGATAAAAGCTGCCATGGTCACCTCCCCACGGGTCTCACCCACATCTGTGTCACCCAGTCCACGACCAAAAGACAAGCGCAGTTTCTTCACGTGTCTCTAGGCTCCATGCGCCTCTTCCAGGTCTCCTGGCTCCATCCTGCTTCCTTCCTCAGTCTCTTCCGGCAGCTTCTTCTTTTGCTGCTCAGCTCCACCCTCCCTTGGGTGGGGCAGGGAACCTCCCCCTTTCCTGGGGACCACCCTGTTGCAAAACCACACCTCAATAAATATTAACTGTTTTCTACCTTCTGTTGACTGTCAGTTTTCCAAAAGTTAATTTTATTACATTTATTATGGCAAAGAAAACTACTATCTTGACAGGAACCCTCAGTGCCTCAGAAGGAGGGGTTCAGAGAGGGCTACTTATAGGATTGGGGGGTGGGGCTGATGTTTCTATACAATTGATATCAGGCACAGTTTATGACATAGTTTAGGATTGGGGGCACATCTCGTTAAGGATTTCAGTGAATATCTATCTAACAGACCAGTTATTTTCACAGGTGATCCAATTCCTGTTAGGTGAGCTGTTCGCCCACATGAGCACACTGGTTTCTTGGGTAGTTTGTAAGAAACTCCTGAAGCAAATAGTTAAATTATTTATTGGCAATAATTTCTGGAACATGTTAACACAGGTGTCATTGGTTCTTGACCTCCTCATATTTTTGGACACAACCCAAAATTACTTTAATTGAGGAATAATAGTTGAATAAGTAAACGTCTAAAATGAT